GAGAGCAAAACAATGCCCAGAAGAGGTAACACTATGTTTAAAGGTATGGAGATAGTTTATTTGAGGAGCTGGTGAAGGAAAGGGGAATTAGTTTGGCTTAGCTGGAGGGTAAAGCAGCATGTATTGATTTTTAAAACAATAAGAAAACCATAACCACCAATGTTACTTGATAAAAATAACATTCACAGTCTGCTATACAGGAATAACCGCACACTTTCCCCTACTATGAACAAATATAAATACAAAAACATTTCAAAAGTGAGATTAAACTATTTTGTAATCTGCTTTATCTTCTATCCTATCTCCACTTGATTTTTCTGTATATTTCCTTATGCTGTTATTTTACATAATTTTTTAATATAGTTTGATATTCCATTATAAAAAGATAGATGTTCATCTATTCTACTGACAGACATGTACTATTTCTAGTTTTTCTATTCTAAAAAGGCTTGGGTCACACATTTCCTAATAAATATCACTGCATAGCTATGATTATCTTTTAGACATAGTGCTACACTGGTTTTTTTTTTTTTTTTTTTGTATGGGGGTTCCAACTCACGACCCTGCGCTTGCCAGGCAGGCACTTTCATACACTGTTTAATAAATGTTCTGATATAATGCCAAAATTCAGAGTATATTTGATTACAGAGTATAATAACGCTTATTAGTTAAAATACTTAAACAAAAAGAGATTACAGTAAAAGTCACTCCATAATAACCCATGATCAATCTCTTGTGCAGTCTTTCAGAGATAGAATAAGGGATGTGTGTGTATCCCGTCTTTTTTTTTTTTTTTTTAAATGGTGCCATAAACTATTTTTTTCTCACTTAGCGTGTTTTAGACATGAGTCTATCATTTTCTTTTAAAACTATGAACATCCATTTAGGAGGTAAGTTATTGATGGGCAGTTAAGCCATTTTTCATTTTTTGTTTCAATAAATATCCTTGAATACAGTTCTTCATTCACCCAGTCCAGTAGAGAAGTTCACAGAATGGCTGTCTCGTACTAAAACTCTTGCTATCTGTGTTTATTCTTCGCACTAATAGCAAAGAAAATCATGAAAATATTTGCATTTGCCACTATAAGAGATGACAGTATTTATATTTCTTTTGCTTATTGTATTTCTTGTAACAATGAAAATGTTCATTTTCTATGAACTATTTTTACCCTTAGTCCAGTTTCCTACTATGGCAGAAGCAGCAACATTCTGGTGAAACTCACCAGCTGGCTTTTCAGGATCAAGTTCTTCACAGAACTTCCAGAAGTGATAGAAATCTTCAGGTAGAGAAAGCTTATAATGATTTTCTACTTCTTTGCGAAGATCACTGGAGACATCAGCTTCACAGGATCTACTCTTCTTCACATCAACTGTATTTTCACACTGAAAATTACCATACACAACCTCAGTTCTCCAGAAGTAATTTCAGTAATTTTCCTTGCATAACAATATTGCTCATTCTTACTCATTTTTGAGTTTTGAGTATGTACATATGGGTACACGTGCTTAAACTGCTCTAAACAGTACATCTGAATAAAAACCTAGGGACTCAGGCAAAAAAAGAAAAGGATCTTCACAGTAAGTCCTCAAATACATTCCTTTTAAGATAACAGAAAATCGGGGGGGGGGGGAGTAAGCCTCTAGTAAAAAGCTGCAAAAAAATAAAGGGAGGTCCTGTCCTCTTTGGGCTAATGAGATATCATACCTTTCATTTAAACAGATTCCCTGATCACACTGGAAACAAATTATCAGAAATAACTGAATGTAAAGAGATTTATCCGTGAATAAGTTGTTTCTTCAGCAAAGTCCAATACAGTTATGGACAGCTAGAATATGTATAATCACTGAGTCTTTCAGCTTGGGTTAAGGACCAAGTTAAGCACTATAGTCCCTAATCAAGTTAGCAGAAGAGCACTAAATGCTGAGTCAAAAATTCTACTACTTTATAAAAGAACTTTGAATGCTAGGATTAGGTTGTAAAACTCAAAAAGTCTAAGAGCTCTGCAACAGAAGTATACTAGGTTTTATAACGAATAGAGGTATCTGCTAAATACCTATAAAGACAGCATGTTTATTTGGAGGTTACCTATCTTTAGTATTTGTTAACGGGTATCAAACTCAGAACCTTGCGCTTGCCCCACAGATGCTAATGGCACTGTGCTAAATCCCAGGTTCTCTTTAGCTTTTGAAGTTGCAGTATTTTTCTTTCTAGGAACCTAGATCCTTCATTTTTGGATTATTTTTTGTTCTCCAGTTCTGGGAACTAAATTTAGGGCCTCACACACACTAGCCAAGTCCTCTATCACTGAACTACATCCCTAGCCCTTTTCATTTTGAGATGTTATTGTTAAATTGCTCAAGCTATGTTTGAACTTGTGATTCTTCCACTTTAGTTTCCCTGAGCAGCTGTGATTACAGGTGTGCAACACTGCATATCTAGATTAAATCTTTCTACCTAGATCAGTGCTCTTTGACAAGGGATGATTTTGCTACTCCCCCTCTCCTCTTGGGAACATTTAGTTTTTATAGTTTTTGGTCATAAATTTGGAAGAAGGGTGCCCGTGACATCTAATAGGTGGATGTTGAATAGCATGTTGCTCAGTATTCTGCAATGCCCAGGATAGGTCCCCTCAACAAAGACCTATCTGGCCTCAAATGTCAACAGTATGGAAGGTGAGAATTTTGACGTGATGTCTCATATTTATATTCTTCTATTTTTCTAATAAGTTCAAGTTTATTGATGTTACTGTAGGTATCCAGTCTACAAAATGTACAAATCAGATGACACAGAAGAAAGTTCATGATGGAACTGTTTCAGGAGAAAAAAAAAAAAAAGAATGCATGAAATGTCTATTGACAGAACAAATAGTTATAGGGCTTTTAAAAAATGGAACACTACACTCAGTAAAAAGGAAATATAACTAAACTAATCAATGTTAATACTTAATAAAGAAATAAGTCAAGATTATATGCAGGATGAAAATTTTTATAAAGTTCAAAAACTAAGGGAATACTGTTTATGTATACACTCAGAGGAGATGAAGCAGGCAGAAAGGATAAAAGATAAACACGTGTAAATGTAGATGTACTGTCAATGTTTCATTCTTGGACTGGGCAACTGGGTCCACAGGTATTTGTTATACTATTAATAATAAAAGTAATTAGAGGACCAGGAATCGACCAATGAAAAATTACACTAGGAATTATAATGCATCTATCTGAGGTCATGAAAAAATTAAACTCGAAAAACTATTTTAAAAACCACGAAATCCAAAATGGATGCTAACAATAGCAATTACAGTAATAAAAATTATAAAGTAACAATACTTATTGTGCCCTTAAAGAGTCTTGCCACTGTTTTAGCACTTTCTCTGTTCTCTTAATCCTCACTTCTAATTTAAGATCTAAGTCTTATGCACATCCTAATAAGAATGAGGTTATGTAACTTTCCCTACATCTCTAGTTAAATGTGGAAAAGCAAAGAATTAAATGGGCTCCAGGGCACATATTCTTATCTGTTTTTTCACGATACTTCTTGAACCAGAAATACAGAACTGGGTTTGGTTAGATTTTCAAGGACTGGTTTAAACTTAAAGATGTCAGGAACACCTTCTGCCCTGCAGTTCTGCCTTGGGTAGGTTACTTAACCTTTCTGTGCTTTGCTGTCTCACCCTCCAAGCGACATATGTAGCACCTGTAAGGGGGTTATTATGCCAAGGTGGTTATATTTAAAAATAAAAACACCAGTCTAATAATCACTGCTGGCTATTACTATTTGCCATTGATAGTTTCTATTAGAATCATCTTCACTCTGGAGATTTTATTTCTGATGAACCACAGCACTCCACCAGAGCAGTTCCTCACTGTGCCTTTGAAGTGGGGTGTTGTGCACCTCTACCCTAGTTCACACACTACAGAAGTTCAGCTTCTTCCAAACTCTAAAAATTAGAATTTGAGACAGCTGATCCCTTCAAAGACTACATTTCAACCTGGTGTTCCTAGAAAGCATTGCCTAATAGGGAGAACATCTATAACAACGGTCCTCTAGCAGTAAGTTAAGCTTTCTAAACCTAGCTAGAGTGACTTTTGCACTTCATTACAATGATTTTTTTTTTCTGCTTAATTCTCGGTATCAGTAAGCACTGCAGTGCTTATGGAATTCTCGAACTCATTTAAAAGCCTAAGTGAAAATGCACCGCTTTCTGCCCAACTCCCTCATTTCAGTGGTTCCTTTATGATCGGGTCCCTCCCACTTTCCCATCTACCGGCCTGATGCCAGGCTGAATGCTCCTTCTGGGCCCAAAAATACTTTATATACTTTGGTCAAGAGATCGATTTCTCCTCATGAACCATTTTCAACATAAGTTGCCTTAAACGACTTAACATCCCTCGGACCTGTTAAAAACCCTTCAGTGTTCCCACACTTTCTACACACCAGCGTCATAATCCCAGGCAAAAACAGTAAAACGTGTGTTGGTTCCTGCCGCCTTCGCAGACTGGAGCGCTAACATCTTGAATCCCAGCAATTACTGGCTTTCCAACAGATGTGGCTGGCAAAATGAAATGCGCTTTATTTGCAACCCCGGGAGCCGGGCCAAGAGAAGTGGGGAGCAGACGTCAAGGCGCCACTTTTCAGGCCCCATCTCCGGGACAGCAGGCAAAGCCCTGACAAGAGTCCTGCAGGAGACCGCCCGCTCCGGGCCACACGGCAGGCGCTCAGTCATTCAGGGATGAATGAAATGTGCGGCCCGGAACCCTGACTGTCACCTCCAACGCCCCAGCCCCCGCGGAACCTTTTTGGTGATACCTGCTGCCCATCCCGGCCGGGCCTGCGCTTCCCACCGCCGCCGACCATTCTGCAACCTTAGCGCGCGCAGAGCTTCGCAAACTGGTTGCCTCCAGGGGCAGCCGAGTACTTCCAGGTTCAGAATCCACCAATCCGAATGCCCCGGCCAGCGCGGGCGCGCACAAATACAGGAAAAGCTCCGCCCTAGCCCGCCCTCGAGGCCACGCCTACTCCAGCGGGAGGGGGCGTGTGTTCCGCGAGTCTGCGCTTTGGTGCGCTGGCACAGCTGCTCGGAGACACAGCAGAGACCCCAGGAGACAGATTTGGGTGAGCTAAGATGGTTCGGCCTTCCTTCTCAGGCGTTTTCTGTTGCCAAAGTTGAACGTATACTGCTGCCGTAACTTCGGCCAGAAATTTATCATCTTCCCTCCCTACCGTACTTTTGTTACTGGTTCATCCCGGGATCTCCCAGAAATGACTCCCACCGTTTCCCTGCAGTGCAGTCCCTGAACCTGCAACACCAGTCCGTGGCGGGATTTGTTAAGGCGGAGGCTTAGGCTCTACCCACATTTATCAATCAGAACCTGCATTTTTAATTAGATGTCCCGGTGATTCCTATGCACATGGAAGTTTCAGAGGCACTGCTGCATCGCAGCCATCCTGGCAAGGTCCTGTGCCTCATTCTTGAGACTGATTCTGCCTCTGTTTACTTTTCCCTCCTTTTATATTCTCTTTTTGTCATTTTGTGGGACATATCCTCCAGTAGTGCCCCTTCGCACTGAGATACTGCACCAGCTCTTTTATTTTTATTATTTTAACATTGTTTTAAGCAATGTAGCTGTTTGAAACAAAAATTGAGACAACTCAATAGAGGAAAGAGTGAACACCTGTGAATAAAATCCAGCCTGTGTCATTTTGAATTCCACTGAAATTTGGCACCAGAGTGAAACTGATTTAAGGCCAAACCCTCTCCTTAGTGCTTGGAATCCCTGCACCTGTTTCCCTTCAGAGTCCACCAGCAGCTCTACAGCAGAGCTTGCTTGCTTGACAGTGGGTCTGCTGAGTGGCCCCCCTGTGAGTCCCAACACCTCTGATAGAGTCTAGTTAATGACAGCAAAGGAGCCTTCCATGGAATAACTGGAATCCCAGGAGGCATGCATTTGCAAGAGCATTTTCTCTGATGTGACAGTACCTTCCCTCTCCAGGTGCAGGTACTCTTCCCCCACCGCCCAAATCTTGCAGGTCTGAAACTTTCTTCTGGCTAAGCAGTGGATTCTGGGTTTAGAGCCGCTTTTAGAACATTACTGACCCCTGCAGTATTTTAGTTTCCAGTATTATTGAGAAACCCTATGCCATCATGAATTTTACTTTGTCCTTATCAGTGGCTAATTTCTTTATATGTCACCTACTTTTGTTTCTGGTTTTTTTTTTTTTTTTTTTTTTTTTTTTTTTTTTGCCCCTCAGGAAATTTTAGGGTCGTTTCTTCATTCCCAGTCTTATAAAACAAAAAAAAAAAAACACGTACCTTGATCGTGGGTCTTTTTTTTTTTTTTATTGAACTCACACTTGGTTAGCTGTTTTCAGTCTTGATATATATGTTCTTTAATTCTGGGAAGTTTTCTAGTATTATATATTTGATAATTTCTTCTGCCCCATCCCTCATTAAGTTTCTTCTTTTTCAGAAATTCTTCATATGTTAAACTTTTTGACAATTTTTTGCTTATCTATTCTATTTTTTTCTCTTCATCTTTTTATTCTACTTTCTGTGTGACGTTTTCAACTTAGGTGGCACTATCAAATTATTTTATTGCTTTTATTATACTTCCATTATATGTGATCATTTTGTTTTTATAGTACTGTGTTTTGCCCCCAGAAATGCAGCTTGTTTTATGTCCAAAGACCTACATTATATGGTTTTTAAACGCTTTCTACATAATTGCATTGATTTTAATTCTTCTGAGTCTTTTTTGGTTGGCTGTTTGGCTGGCTGGTTGATTATTTTTTTTTCTTTTTTCTTTTTTTTTTTTTTTTTTTTTTTTTTTTGTCTTTTTCGTTTTTATCGGTATCAGGGATCGAACTCACGACTGCCTGCTTTCGAGGCAGGCACTTATGCCGCTGAGCTAAATCCCCAGCCCCTGGTTGATTATTTTTATCTTGTCTCTGTCCATTATGCTACAGGCCTTCCTCAACTTGGGTGGCCATCCTTGCTCTTAATTCATACGTAAAAGTGATCATCTCAAAACTGCATTGGGGACTTAGGCACAGCCTGTCAACTGTAGATAATGGGGTGAATGATAATGGGGTAAGGACCTAGATGTTTGCTTCCAGAGGGTAATCTTGCTTTAGAAAATACCATTTTCTTGGAACCCAATGGAGAAAGGAGGCTGGGAATTTTAAGAATTTCAGTAAACTGTAGTCCAGAGTCTTATACAGAACCAACAGAACAATAACATGTTTATCGTCCTACCTAATTATCTGTCCATCATTAGTTGACATGAGATGGGGCTGAGAAGTCCCACAAACTGTTGTGTGCAAGCTGGAGACCCAGGGAAGCCGTGCTGTGATTCGCAAGCCAGGTTGCTGATGGAGAGTTGATGGTACTATTTCCTGTGTGACCCTTGTAGGTCTGAGAACTTGGACTTGGGGCAGGAAAACATGGGTAACCTGTTGTGGATTGGTAACTGATGCTCAGCTTAAATTCTGCTTAACTCATCAACATGGTACACAGCGTGAATGGCCCACCGAGGGCTGTTGCCAGCATAAAAAGAAAACATGGCAAGAAAGAGAGGCATTGTAGTTTCTCCTAAGTGGTGTTGTTTTGGAGTCATTGGTTCTCCTAAGAAGCTTGTCATGCTGGCTCCCCTGATATGAACTTGGCTATTATCATCGGAGGAGCTCAGGACCTTGTTGCTGAGAATGGCTGCGGTTCCCTTTGGGGGAGGTCTGGTCCTTACCTGGAGCATCACTTTCTGGTTTTCAAGGGGAAGATGTGTGCTGTTTAATCTCCAGAGGTGTGTCATGCTGGCTTCCTGAAATGTATTTGGCCGTTCTCATCGTTGGAGAAGCTGAGGACCTCATTGTCACTGAGGGTGACTTACGAAAGGGTGACGTATGAACTCCTCAGGGGAGCCCTGGTTCTTAGTTTGAGCATCACTTCTTGGCTCTAGTGCAGAAGCCTCAATCTGCTAGCGCAGATCCTTTACCCTGCTGGCACAGGCTTTCTAGCTTCCGCCACTGACTTTTGGACCTTCTCAGAGCAGATCTGTAAAACAGACTTGAATGAATCATTGTCGTGGGCTCTAGACCTCTAGCTGGACTCATGAGAGGCATTGTTACAGGCTCTAGGTTTTCAGCTGGACTCAGGCAAGACATTGCTATGGGATCCTGGCTCTCAGCTATATTTTCTAGGTCTTTAGTGCTGTGGACAGATTTCCTGCACTTTCATGTATTTAATTCTGGGTGACCATCATAAAGTATTATAAATTCTGTATCTTGTATGTAATTGTTCTCCTTGCAACCCTTGACTACTACATAACCCAACTCAAGAAGTGTAGTAACTGCCTGACAAGCAGAAGATTGTGAGTTCGATTCCTGGAACCAAAACAAAAACAAAAACAAACCAAAAAACAAAAAGCCTAACAATCATCCCTTCTACCACCTTTCATTCACACTTTCAATGAATTGGAATTTTTAGCCAGATATTTGGACAGTCTGTGATCTAGTCAAACTGACATGTAAAATTAACTATCACACAGACTTTCACTTAAACCACTGTTCTAGTATGGTGTCTTCACCTTCAACTGTGTCTGCTGTCTCTGACTCTGTAGTCCTCCTACCTCAGTATCTCCAAAAAGAAATAATTCTGCAGCTCCCTGGTTACAAAGGGGAGATTTTGTGAGAGGAGGAAACCTAGAACGCTTACTGATTCTGGGTTTTTAGCGTCTCATTAACCTCAGACCTTGTGTATATTGTGGGGGCAGGGGTGCTTCCATTCCCGAGTGAGGTTCTGTGATGTTAGCTTACTTTGAATTGTCACCTCTGAAAAGACTTGGGTTGCAGCCTTCTTTGTCCGCTGGTCTGGTTCTCACTGGACCATGTATTTATCCTGTACTGTGTTTTACTTCCTAGAGCTGCCACGTCGAATTATCACAAATAGAGTGACTTAAAACAACGGGAATATATTCCACATAGTTAGGAGGCTAGAAATCTGAAACCAGAGGTCAGAAGATTACTTCCTTAAGGAAGCTCAAGAGAAAATCTGCTTCATGCTTCCATTTTAGATGGTAGTCGTCAGCATCCCTTTGCTTATAGGTGCATCACTCCAGTCAGTGCCTTTTTCATTACATGTTGTTCTCATGGATTGTCTCTGTCCAAATTTCCTTTCTTCGTACAGGAACCAGTATTAAGTTAGAGCCCATTCTGCTCTGGTACTGCCTCATCTTGGTCACATCTGCACAGACCCTCTTTCTCAGTAAGTTAACGCTCCATATGCCTTTGGGAGAATACAAATCAACATATATAGGTTAGCTCCTAAATTTTTGTGGCCAGTTTTACATTACCTCTTCTCTTGTTTTCTTTTTGTGGACATAAGTGACCCTCTACACCCCGCCATTTAAGCTTTCTTTTACCTTTGTTTTTGTAAGGTTAAGGATTGAGGGCAAGTCAGTGTTTATAATATGCTCTGCTAACTAAAGAGTTTATTATTACTGGCTTTTCTAGTTGAGTCATACGAGGTGGCAATTGAAATGTGAAAATTTATACTCATTATGAATACTTTGTAGTTCAAAATTAAAACTTTGCTGCTCTAAGTAATAGTCCAAGGTATGAACAACTATTTCAAAGAAAACAAGAGACATTATGGTAGCCACTGTTGATTTCCTGCTGTGTTTTCTGAAATACTGGGTTATTTAGATTTAAAAGTTACTGGACTTACTCCGTAGATGATGAGATGTTAATGAAATATATATTTATAATATGTAGGAAATGGAAGCAAGAATTTCTATGTGTTTTTTAAGGAGTTACTGATTATAATATTCGTCTAACTTTAATCTCTGGTCAAAGATAGAAAATTTTAAAGGCGTGTGGTGGACTGACAACTGGTAGTCAACTTGTAACACTCAGTTGAACTGAATCAGCATGGTTCTGGGTGTGAAGGCCCACCTGAGGATGTTGCCAACAGCATAAAAAGAGAACTATGGAGGAAGATGGTACACTGTTGATTCTCCTAGAGAAGCTTGTTATGCTGGCTTTGCTGATACGAACTTGACTGTTCTCACCACTGGAAAAGCTTGGTCCTTGCCGTTGCTGAGGGTGGCTGCGGTTCTATTCAGGGGAGCTCTGGTTCCAATTTTGAGCATCACGTCCTGACTCCGGTGCACATTCCTCAGCCTGCTGGCACAGATCCTTCATCCCACTGGTACAGACTTTCTAGTTTCCACCACTGACCTTTGGGCCTTCCCAGTGCAGATCCTGATACAGACTTGCATGAGACATTGTCATGGGTTCTGGGCCTCCAGCTGGACTCATGAAGAACATTGTCATGGTCTCTAGGTTTTGGAGATCATTGAGGCTGAGTACATGTGCAGGGCTGTCGTATGGCCCAGGCATGATTGAACTGAGAATGAGGAGACACCTCAGGGGGCAAGATAGGCCACAGCTGAAGCCACTTAGAGACTTTCTGGATAGTTTTTCTTAATTAGCATTGTCTGTTGCTCTGAGGGGTCCTAGTACTCGTCCCAAGATCTTGCTCAGGTTTCCTCTACTGTCCACTCAACTCCTTGCTTGTTCTAATTAATTGCAGGCTGCCCAGGATCAGTTGGCCGGCCAACTGAACTCTGCTGAGGAATTTAGTCCTCCTGCAGCCCTAAAAATTATGCCATTGTCTCATTCGTTTGGGCCTTTGCTGTGCACCCTTTTGGGGGATTGGGAATCTAGGCACAGACCCTAACATCTAGGTCTTCAGCTGGACTTGTGCAGGATGTTATTATGGGATCCAGGCCCTCAGCTGGATCCTTTGAGTCTCTGATGTGTGGACAGATCTTCTATACTCTTGCATCTAACTCTTTGGGTGTCCTATAAATTATGTGTCACATTAAATCCTTTCCTTTTTAAATCTTGACTATAAAAATACTTCTTTCCAATCTTTTATATGCTTGGAAGATCATAGATGTCATATATATCTTGTTACTAAGCACTTCCTTCATATTTTCTGTGAGAACTGACAAAAGACAGGACAAGGTACTACTTAGGAGTTCAGGTCTTAGAGTAGCTAGCTGTCAGCACTGAAATCATTTCAGGGCAAGATGACCATGTGTGGCAGTACAGGTACGAGGAATTACAGGGTTACACAGTTCAATTCATAAGGCTCTCTCAATGGTAGAAACCATTCATCTTAGCAATCAGAAATAGGTAAGTCCCTGTGAGAAAGGTTGTATTAGTCATTTTCCTGTCTCTGGGACAAATTCCTGATCCTTATAACTTAGAGAAGATGAAGTTTAATTTGGCACATGGGTTTTGGAAGTTTCAGTCCATGACTGGCCTGCTCCATGGCAGAAACAGCATGCAAAAGTATATGGCAGAGAAAAACTGCTTATGTCAGGGCAGTCAGGAAGTAAAGAGAAGGGGCCAGAGAAAAATATGTACAGTCTACGTCACAATCCCAGTGGCTCACAAAGCTCACCTCCTAACAACATATGAACTCCTCAGTGGATTAATTCCTTGATAAGTACAGTGTCCCCACAATCCAATCACCTTCCTAAAGCACCACTTCTGAACATGTGGACCTTTGGGTGACAGTGTAGCAAAAGCTGTTGCCCCTCCCTGGAGGTTAATACCAGCTTTCAGAAGGCCCAGACCCCTGCAAGGGCACTCAAGATTTTCAACCTATCCTGTAAAAGATAACTCTTTCTAGGGGCCTTTGACAGTAGGGGGCTGAATTATGGCATATAGGTGACTGTGTTAAAGTAAGTGTTTGAAAGGGTGAACCTTTGTATAAATTTCCAGATTAAAAGTCAACAGAAGTTTCAAGGGTAGCTGATCCCAGCTGGCTACTATAAAGAGAAGCTGCAAATGAGCTGTACCATTAACCTTTGACACCATAATTTGATCTATCTGGGTCAACTTGACCCTAAAGAATCATGCAACGGTGACCCAACTATTCTACCCATCACACTTAATCCAGATTGGCAGTCCTGGATCTATGTGCCTTTGGTTAGCACTAGCTGGATGACCCAAACATGCATTTGCAAGATTCCAGATGTTTCTCAGTCTTCATATTTACACTGGAAAAAGAGTAGAGCCAATTTAAGCATCAATTATATGTCAAAATTATTAGGTACAGAGAACCCTTTCTAGACCTCATCACAGTCCAGGAAGTTTATATTTGTAAACCCATGGAAAAGTTATTGGAATTCCAATAAGTTTAATCTATCACTTCCAGTGCAACCCACGGTGAGAATAAAGACACTAAGACATATTTATAGTTATGGGGAGCCAAGGGGTTCCTAAATCCAACCAGGATGAAGGTTCGTCAGAACAGAGGCCTTGACCCAGGGCCCAACCCAGACTTTGTTAATTCATGAAGAAGGGAGTGATTTAAGGATGAGTGACTGAGAATGGCAGGAAAAATGTAAGTGCTATGTACTGGGGTAGGTAGGAGGCTTGAAAGCATCTCTGCAATATGCAGAGAGAAGAATATGCAGGAAGATGAATCTGCACAACACAATTGAGGTAGCTTCTGATGTTTTGGGGATAGTGCTTCAGTTTTGATATGTAAAGCTTTCTGCCCTGGAAGTCATGGCCTCTTATCTCAAGGCTTTAACCCAGCTGACATCCCTGGAGCCATGGCTCTTCATCCCACCTGACTCACCCATGTTTTTGGGAGTCATGGTGTGGGGAAACAGCGACTGTCACCTAACCTCACAGGTTACACATCAGCACCTCAGCCAGCCCTATTTACATTGCTTAAAGCCAATTGAAGGGAAAAGGAGATGGTTTAGCCAGCTCTGTGCAAATCAGTAAATGGAGATAGGGCCAAGTTTATCCAAGTTAGAGATAACTTCTCTTTGTTCAGGGAGAGTCATCCCAGTGGTGCTGCACATTAGGCATTGGAAATACTGAGATGTTACTGTTGCTGTGTCCTAGGAAATTATAGAGTGTACTGAAGAGAACAATAAAGGCAGCATAGTTAATATTCCTATTAATCACATAAATGAGATATAAGAATTATATGTCTCTATCACATCCCAAGCTTTTAGACCCACAGTTCCTGATCAGTCTTCCCCAAAGAACTGCTATAATCATTTAACTCTTCAAATACAACAGAGGTAGCCTGTTCTAAAATCCAAGCGAATACAGAATATTATTTCTGGGAAATAACAAAAGACAAAGGAGTATACGTTGGGGACCATGCTCAGTTAATACAAGGAGTTTACTAGTTGATGACAGAGCGAACATCAAAAGCAGCAGCCAAGATCAAGAGCTGGGAAAACTGCCAAGGAACAGGAGATGGGAGCTTGGGGAGCAGTTTCGCTAGAAGGATCCAACTAGAAATTACTGCTGAGTAATATTTCTTGGCAAGATTACTCACCCCTCCAAGTTTTTAAAATTTCTGAATATAGCCAGGCATGGTGGCGCATGCTTGTAATCCCAGCACTTGGGAGGCTGAGGCAGGAGGATTGCGGGGAGTTCAAGGCTAGCCTGGGTTATAATGTGAGTTCAACACCAGTCTGAACTTCATAGTGAAACTCTGTCTCAAACAAAAAAATTTCTGAATACAATATTATGTATTAATTTTAGAATAGTACAGTAAAATGAGAACAAAATTAATTACCACCTTGAAGCAACCTTACCTATTATTTGGTTGAATACAAATATGTGTTTTCTACACGTTCTTGTATATTTTTTACATAATTGAGATAGTACTATGCATGAGAATTTATATTTGGTATTTAAAATAAAGCTTTGTTAAATTGTTAATTTGTTAATTTGTTAAATTGCTAAATTCTTCATCAATATTTTAGTGACTACATAAATATACCATTGGCCAGATGTTTTGATAATGTACCTAACTCTTCATGATAAATTTTCACAATTGTTCATTTGCTATAAATAACGGTGAACAACATTTTTATGTATTAAGCTTTAAAAGTATTTTAGAATGTTAGCTTAATTTGGGCTCTCAGAGGGTTATTTGAACCCAAAGTAGAAAGAAATTTTAAGTACCCTGATACATATTGGCAAATTGTTTGTAAGGAAGGCAGTTTGATTTTGAACAAAACGTCACAAGGACCATTAATGACTTACTATATTACTTAAAAATCAAGTGAATATCTAAAACTGATCAGCATATTTTCATCCATTCACCTAGCCATCATTTAACAAGTATTCACTGAGAGTCACTCTTGTATGAGGCACTGCAGATAGGTCACTGTGAGTTCTAAGTGGCCCTAAAATTATTTAGCTACTGTGCACTACCCTGCCTAGAATTTTAGCATTTCATTACACGCAGACCATCTGGAGCTCTTTCTTGAGGAAGGAGAAGCCAATTTAAAAATTATCCAGTTCATGCATCTTTTGAAAGGTTACATCAGCATGGGAGAGGGGATGGCATTTGCACTGGTGTCTGTGTATGGGGAGAGGGAGTCACAGGCAGGGATGAGCCAGGACATCATCACAGTAGTCTATGGGAGCTTTGAGCTAACATGAGAAAACATCATTAGAAACTGGGCCAAGATTGACAGATGTTTGTACAGATCCTCAAATGCTCCTCACCAGACATGATATGAAATTCAGTAAGTCAAGTTTAAAATAGTATTTTTTTCTGTTCTTTCTTAGTTTTGAGCAGTATCTTAGATAAACAGAGACCTGCCAAATAAATTAAATAGAAGAGTCTTTTTTTCATTTAATATTTTGGGAAATTAGAATCACAGAACTAGGCAGTTTTCCTTTTTATTAGATGAATCTATTTTCCTATTTCGAACATAGTTCCTAAATCCTATGCCTTTCTCTTTGGTAAAATACCACCACAAAATTTATGAAAATGACTTTAGATGCTGTCTGCAAAAGAGGCAAATTCTGTTTCTTCCATCCGTAGGCATTATTTTCTCTTTCTTCAGAAATGTGTGTATGTCATAGGATTGTTTATTCCCAGGGCTCTTTGACACAAACCACATTGTCATGGCTACAGCTGCAGTAAAGCTGCTGCTTCTATGTTTTCTACTTAGACCAGGAAGAATTTGCTGGATTAAATTAGCCACGGGAGGGCTCCATTGCAGTTTCTAGGAAAAAATAAAACAATAATTCTGCAGTTGTACTTTCCTGGCACACAATTTTATCTCTGCAGCTTTCATTAGGCCATACCTATTTATAACAGTTTAATAAGCCAGTACCTGTAGCTCAGGTACATTTACAACAGCCGTTTAAAGAATACCAGAGAATTTTCTGGAAACCTAGAGAATGTTTCTTATGGGAAACAACATAAAAATGAGACCTGAACGATAAGCTCTAATTTATCCATTTTGTTTTTATCTCAGAAATTCACAGAAATGGCTTATATTCAAGATACACAATTTATGGATGTCTAATCTACTTACAGTTTTGTGTTACCATTATTTTGCTGCCTGTCAACTGGAGACTTACCATAATCCAGTCTGACAGGCCGAATGGTAGTCACATGTCTTTATTTCCATCTGTAGCAGTGCTTCCCACCATGCCTGCAGGATGATAATAGCTACTACAAGAAGAAAAGTATAGAATTTCTATGTGAAACAAAACTGAACACAAGTTTTTAGTGAAGGATTTACCAGTGCATCACTCTGCATCTCCTAGAGTGACATTTCATCTACTTTTAAAAGCTTGAATCATTGGATTCTTTTTGTTTAGGGGCCAAAAACATGATTTTAACTTACTATGTTAAAAAAAAGCTGGAAAACAGTAAAAAATTTTGAGGCCACTTGTACTTAGAGAAGTGGTGAAAAGCACATGGAAAATATCAGCTGTATGTTTGATGCTTTCAGAATTTCCCCTGGTCCTTCGTTCACAGAAGTTATGGGAACCTCTACAGACGTTAAAATGGCAACCAGACCCAATAACAACATGGACCCTTAAAGTTTTCAAGTTCTAACTCATTCTTTCTTCAGCTATTAATTGTTGCACTCATAGTTTTATGGTTCATTTAATTTACGAAAAAAAGCACAATGGCCCAAGGGTCTAGCCAAATGGATGGGGGCAAGATTCCACACTCAGGTTTTAGTGATGTTTTTAATTATGTGGGAGGATTAAAAGCACATAAAGTGTTATGCTTTGTCTCTAGATGTCCCCTGAAAGCCTCATGCAGTCATAGGTGGAGCTTTGTCAGAGCTGGGTGGGTCTGAAGTGTGTGATGCTGGGATTAAGAGTGTGTGATTACTAAATCAATCCACTGATAGGTTTGGCACTGCCCCTAATCCAAGCAGCCTACATACAATATAAAAGGGGCAGATCCTATTAAGGTCTCTTGTTGCTTTACTAGTCTGCCTGCCATGAACTCTTCTCCTCTGCCAGTAACCCTACCTTGGAGCCATATGATTATAAACTGAAAGCTCCACAAACTGTGAGCTAAATAATCCTTCCCTACCTTAACTTTGGGCATAGAGTATTTTGTCTCAGCAATGAGAAAAGAAACTTAAGCATGAGGCTAGACTTTAGTTCCAGGGTAAGAAATGGTCACATAGGAGAATGAAGAAATGTTACTTTGAAGGAAAATCATCAACCCTTATCATTGTATAAGGACTTTATTAAGCAAACATAGCAATAAGCAATATACACTTTTCTTTTAAACAAAAGGCTATCCTTTGACTAACTGGTAGTTTATATCATGTCTCCTAAGAACCCACTCATAAGTGATTAAGTTTTTCTGAACAGATGAAATAATTTTTCTTCCATTTTAACAGGTCTCCCTTCCAGATCATGGCACTATTTTATTCCCTGATATTGTTTGTTCTTCCTCTCTCATCTCTCTCCTCCCTTCCCTTCCCCACCCAACACACTGAAAAATTAAAGCAGTTCTTCCTGATGGAGATTGTTGACTGATATTTATCTAGGTTGTAGCAAAGGAAAGCTGTGCAAACATCTATGACAGAACTGTGCAGATAGAATTCCTTCTCACATGGAAGTTGTCAGGTGAAATCCTGCTGCCAAAATAAAGACCTGGGCTTAAGAGAAACATCATGGGATTAATACTAGAGCGAGAATGCCAATTTGAGAAGTATTTGTCAAACATGCTTTTCTTGAATAGTTCTTAGATCTGGAGATAACTGAGTCCCTACTGCTGTATCTACCTCTTAAAGAAATTATTTCCTTGATTCAAAAATGGAATGTCACATTAGTTTATACTAGTGGACCATCATTCACCTTTCTTTTCTGTGTGTCTCTGGCTTATTTTCTACCTTCCATTCTGGAAAGTTCCCTTAGGGATCTAGACAATATCATCATGGACAATTTGCTTAGTATTGCTAGGGTTTAATGTTATTATTTGTAACTGCAGATAGTAATACTACTTCATAAGGTTATTGTAGGGATTAAGAACGAGTGTGTACAATAGTGTATTATTATTACTATTATAGAGATCCTAAATTTCAAATTCAAATCCCCACTTCCTCCTCATAAAGTCATCTCCAATAATCCATGGTGGAAAGAATAGTTTCCTTCGCTAATATTTTGTAGTACATATTATTCTCATTACCAGTAGGTCCCTTAATACACACATGGTCTTATGGTCTGGTTACTTGTATACTAATTTTCTCATGTAAACTAGAGGGAAAGTTTTTGGATTGTAGGGAGTAGATGTTACTTGACTACTGCAGAGGTCATGGAAGTCTGATCCGCTCCTCACAGAGAAGGGGAGAGGCATTGCTATGTAGTGTGCAGTTCACTGCTCTCCAACTGTCTTGACTGCTGCATCGATGTGGATGGTTTTGATGCTCATGATTTACTTTTCTTCCTCTTCCATCACCAGGTGAAAGACTGATCTCATCCTCCCTGGCAAAACTGCTTTTGCTTTGTGGGCTCCCAGCCCAAGCTAGCTGCAGGTACTTCCATTTACTGAATTGTCAGAGTTCTGATTTTTTTTCAAATTTATATTAGATTTTTAAAAAAAATGTTTCTATTGGAGGGCAGTTGTCAGTTGCCATGATATTCTGTGTGAACACAAGCTCTTTTGCTACACGGTGTGCTTTCAGAAAGTCACCTCACTGTATCTGCCACGGATTGCTCTGACAACTCTTGTTCATGTTATACTGCTAGCTTGCAAGCCCTTGAGGTTTTACCATTTATATTAAATTCACCTGAAATCTGCTTGAGACAGGTGCTCACAAATAGTTGCATGTAAAATTATGAACCCACATTTAAGCATTCAGTATTGTCTTGGGGAGGGAAAGATGCATTTTGAAGGCTGGAGAAGATAAGAAGACTTGTTTTCCGTTTCTGCTTGGGGACTTGGAGTGATATAAAAATCAGGTTTATAGCTGGTCCCATGGCCAATCAGAAAATAATTCAAGGATATCTGTTTTGTTATTGTTCTCTCTCTTCTTTCTTCTGTGTCTTATTATTTTCTCTCTGATCACCATAGATACATGTCAGTCTCTTCTTTAGAGCCTTGCTAGGGTTTGTATATTCTGCCTAGTACCCCTATTCCAGATTTTTCTGTCCTTTTAATCTAATATTGCAGTGCTAAAAGAACCTCTAGGAAAGATGACTTACAAATCAAGTTGTTAGGGAACGTTAACCATACAATTTGGGACTTGGAACTGTTTTGAAATTGTGCTGGAAAAGATAAACTTGAAAGATGCT